TTCGAAATTAAATTAAATCGGTATCACCTCTTCTCCTATGCACACAATTACACTGCGAACTTTTAAGTTAACTACAATTGTGGAAAAAACTCCATCAATTGGTATATAAATATCATCGAAAATATATTGTACTTTGCTGGGAATATTTTGCATATTACGTTCATTCTTTGTAATCAGTGGACTTTGGATCTTCATGTTTCGTAAGATTCATATTTTTCGAGATTAATTCGTCAGAAAAAGAACCGCGGTAGGAAAAATTCGAATTACTTGATAAAATTTTGAACGTAGGTAAATAATATTGAAAATATTTTGATTACATCTGTTCTGTGTCTTATTTAATTATTTGTAGACACGCGTGACCTCTCATTATTTATTTCTATTTTTTCCTTTTTCTAATTCTTAAGAGATCGCCAGTGTTTAATTTCATCTGGACACTTCCGAGTCGACTTGAAACGAGCTCATTGCAAGTGACGTTTTGGGCTGTTGGTCTTTAAAATTTTTTGCTTCCCGGCGAGGAACGAAGGGGTTAATGTCCACTCTGAAATTCGGTGACGCGAGAAGACCCTCTGAACGGCAGGTAGCAGCTGAAACGGTTAAAAAGTCAACTGTGATCCTCTCACTTCCTTTCGGATCTGATTTGACTTCCGGCAGGTCCGAACGCGAGATCTGCAACAACGGCGAGGGTCGTGTCGCACCCCTTTTGCACCCCTTTTTCTGCGTCAAGGACCACGATGGACCATCTGGACGTCGTGGACAATCTCTACCTACCCCGTTTCGTCTGGAAACTTTCGTTTCTAACGCACAAGAGAGAACGAGGTTCTTCTCGAGGGTTGGAAGAGATTGAAGAAAGTCAACGAAGCCGGCGAATCGGAGATTTTTAACCATTTGCGCTGGCGGACTGATTGCGGACCGTAACGAGCGACCAAACCGTACGCAGTACGTTCGTCGCTTTCTTTTCGAGCTCGTCGTTGAATAGAAATTATCGAGAAGTGATAAATCTAATTATTTGTTTTTCGCCCATATTCTTTTACTCAAGTACACTTCAAAACTGAGAAAACGTTACAATTTTCGAACGAAGAATTCTCGACGTGCGTGAAATTTTCAGTCGTGGGAATATCAGAGAGAATTTAGAAATTTGGAAATTTGTGTAATTGTTAATTTCATCAATTTGCGCAAAAACTTTCGAGATGTTCGACAATATTGCAACGTCGACGATCAGTTAAAGAAAAAAAAAAAAAACAGCTATTTTTCCGAGAACTACATTAGTGTTGAAATGACGGTCCTACAAATGTCTCTGAAAAGGCCTCCAACAACTGAGAAAAACATCTGATTTGCATCTCTAAAGAATTTGGACAACGTACAGTTCACCCTTGGTGTTGTTTTGGATGATCCTGGTGTCCAAAGGGATATTACCCATCTAATAATGACCAGACAGTTAACTGTTGTCCTTTACTACTGTACTGGACCCTTGGTATTTGACCAACAAAGACCCCTGAAAATTATACCAAGGTTACGCGCAGGTATACGATATTTATGATAGGACAAAGTGGCTGCCGTGTCGTAAAATTTGCTCGTAACGGACCATTCTAGTCTCTATTTTCTTTCTTCTGCTTCCGTTTAAGTTTTTTGTTGGCAATTAAGTAGGCAGATTCACGTTTATCGTTGGAGTTTGTATTTTTGTCTGTTACAATTGCAGGCAGTTCAGCTAACTGAGTGGACGATCAACGTGGTGTTGGTCGTTTATACTGGCACCATGGTTTGTAGAAATCAGTAGAAATTCTATATTGACGACTGATTAATTTTTGTTAATTCTATCTTATTTGAATAAATAAAGGTAAAATATAGGGAAAGAGAGAAAGAGCGGTGCAATTCTTTCAATTCTATTTTTTCTTTTTTTTTTTTTTTTATCAATTAAATTGGGAAATTTGTGTCATTATTAATTATTCATTTCGTATTTCGAGGATTCGCTCCAATTTTATGAAATTTCTAGAAATTGAATTTGTAATTATAACAAATGCCTAGGTGTAAAGTTGCTATCAAATATGTTGCCAGTTCATCTCATTTCAACCCTTGTTTGTTTTAATCTATTTCTGTCACATCTCTCTGTGCCATGATTAGCTGTTATTACACTAACGATGCCCATATATAGGTTAATTAAATGAGGCAAAAGGAAAACTTCAATACATACGTCTCATTTTGTAATAATTTTCACTCGTCTGTCTTTTCATTTGCCTTTGTAATAAATTTTTGAAATTGTAAAGAGACTTTATGGACATTCTGTATAATCGTAATTCACGTCGAATCAATCGTAAAGCATAAAACACTCCTCTCGCGATTTTTATGTACAACTATGTATAATAATCTCTCAGTTATAATCAGAGTATGCACAGTGTGTGAATGAAGAGTATCTACACGCTGAAATTTTGCGTTTATCTCTCGTTGAATTCTCGTTTCTAACGCCAGATCTATCAAAGACTGAGGCAAGGAGTGGAAAAAAAGTTTGCAACGTACAAGAAAAAGTTTTATTTAATTCGTATATTTCACAAACATTCCTGATACAACATTTTAAATTGAGAAAAACAGGAAAGCAAAGAATCTAGGCTGGAAGGTCTAAAAACGTCTGTGAAAAAATTGAAAATACAGTTATTCGTACCTGAATTCAGGGATGGGAACTACTGCAATAAAGTCATAAAAGTTTTCAGGATTTTGAATTTACAGCCGTAAACAACGAAGTATTTAATTGTCTCTCGTTGTTGACCCTAATACTGTCGTTAGAATATTCCATTTTTCTTTTCCCAAGGGTGGACACACAAATTCGAAAACCAATAGGAAACAAATGGCAGCATTCTATGTTGTGAGGCTATTTGTCTGTTCGAGAGAATGCCATCGTAGGCTGCCATTAAGTATGGATGCCATTAAAGCCATTTCACGTCTAGACAAAATGGCATTGAAACAAAGAATATTTCTCCAAAGAGAAATAAATCTTCTTTGTTGTGCGTGATTCAAAGGTTTGAAAATATAGTAGGAATGTAGTGAAATCTTCTGGGGACGTATGTTTCGGACCATTAAATATAGATTAACATAGAGTCGTAAAAATAAGCAACTGATATATTGGTATCTTGAACAATTGTTTCCTCTGGGGATAAGATTATTTCATAGACGTTCAGAGCATTCGAGAATTTTCACAGGAAATGCAGAAAATACAGGATGTACATAACTGCTACGAAGAAACGTTCGAAGTAGTTATTTTTAGTACAGTTTTATGAAAATTTATATTTTCGAGAATTGTAGAGTTTCCAAGATGGGACTGTTTCACTGTGCATTTTGAATTATTATTATTATTCTTTTTTTTCATTGTATTTCTGTTTTGGAGGATTGTGCAGCCACGAAGCAAAGTCTCAAGGCTAGAAATGCCACAAATTCCTAAAACTGCCATTCTTTCTCGACATAGTGTTCATTCTAAAATTCAAAAAAAGGAACAAAGAAACTATCAAACTGTCTCGTCTTTCGAAACAAATCTCGAGTCTAAACTTATCTCTGATAAAATCATCCAATATTCAGATGAAAGCCCATGCCAAAGTGCCACAAATTCCTAAAACTGGCACTTTTTCCCGACATAGTGTTCATTCTAAAATTGGAAAAAAGGAACAAAGAAACTATCAAACTGTCTCGTCTTTCGAAACAAATCTCGAGTCTAAAATTATCTCTGATAAAATCATCCAATATTCAGATGGAAGCGCATGCCAAAATGGCACAAATTCCTAAAACCTGCATTTTTCTCGACATAGTGTTCATTCTAAAATTCTAAAAAAAGGAACAAAGAAACTACCAAACTGTCTCGTCTTTCGAAACAAATCTCGAGTCTAAAATTATCTCTGATAAAATCATCCAATATTCGCGCGAAAGCAAAGGCAGAGTTTGCATAATTCCCGTTGCAGCTCCGTTTCCCTCGTGGGGGTTGCTAAGAGGGTAGAATCACGGCGGTGCGCACGCGCACGGACGCTGAGGCGACATCCCTCTCGCGTTGGTGGCTGCGCGCGCTTGCTCTCACGTACACGCTAATGGTGTACGTGCGCGCGCCGTACTCTCGTCTCCGATGATGGCGAGTGGTGGGGGCAAGATGGAGCTTGGAGAAGAAAGAGAAAGGTCAAAGTGGTGGGGGTCGGGTGGCGTGGGTGGGGATCGGCAGCAGCAGGAGCACCTGGGATGCTCCGAATGCGCCGTGCTCGATGGGTAGGGGTAGAGAGGCAAAAGAAAGAGGTACAGAGGGTAACACGGAGGCTTCTCCTCCGTGGAGCACGCGTAGGAAGTGACGTGACCGGGCGGGAGACCGAGCTTGGAGAAGTAGGGATGACCGCAAGAGTCGGGAGAAACGTGAGAGATCAACGAGGATGGATAGATACCGTTTGATAGAAAAAGACGTGTGCGTGTGTGAGAAAGAAATGGGTGCACGATGCATGTACCGTTGCCAGTGGAAAGAGCAATATATTTACGAAAAATAAGAAAAGAGATAGATTTCGCTTGAAAAGTCTTGTTCACTGGAAGAGGATGCGTATAGTGGGATGAAATGTATCATTTGATAGAAAAAGAGAGATGAGCTAAAAAAAAAATAAAAAAGTTGCGTTGAAACAAGATGAAAAAAAAAAAATAATAAAATCAAGAAATGACCGCTGTTATCAAAGAAAGAAAAAAAAAAGAGGAATACAAAAAGAAAGAAAAAGAAAGATGTCGGGGGATCGAGAGAAGCGTCGGTGGAAAGACGTCCGGCAGAGAATAGGGGAAGAGAGGAAGAAGCGCGGTGGAGGACAGATAACGAGTGAGAGCGAGAGGGGTGGCGTGGGTGGGTGGTGGGGGGCATCTCGAGCGACGAAGTGGGGGCTCGGGCGGTCGAACGGGGCGGTGGTGGGGATAGGTGGGCAGGTAGAGGGGAGAAGGACAAATAAGAAGGAAGATGAGGCTCCTGCAAGCAGATCGAGAAGAACTCTCGTGCGGATGTCTTCGGCACGAGCTGGAGCTGCTCTCTTTCTCTCTTTCAGTACAGACTTTGTGTGTTCCCTTGTTGTGTGTGTGTCTCTCTCTCTCTGCCTCGAGCGCACGCTCCAGTCGACAAGCACACACCGTCGCCGTCGTTCGGTTGCCCTCTCTTTTTCACCGTGTGTCCGTTCGTAGCGGCCTCCTTTCCGTATCTGGAGGAGAGACCCTTATTCGTTCTCAGTCGTTGACGACGCGTGGTTGTGAACAGATCGAGAGAGACTTGCGAGTGATACAGTAGTTTCCAACCCACTGTGGTGCGACATGCAGACTTGTGCAAATGCGCCTCTAGTGTAGTGTTACATTTATTTGTACAAAGACACCAAGTGTTTAAGTATTTTGGATGTTAAGTGCCGGGACCGTCGTCCACCTTCCAACTGGATTACACTGGACCAGGAAGTTCCAGGAATCAGGACGCTGCGAGAAAAAAATATGGATTACTCGACGAAAGGTACGTCCGCATTTCTTCCCGTTTTTCCCGCGATTCTCTCCACGAAGAGATTTTTCACGTTTTTAAATCTCGAAGACTTGATGGTAATAGAAGTTAATGGTAATAGAATTCATCCGCTCCGAAAGTTATTCTTGTTTTTCTTATTCGTTGCTGATTTTTTTTTTTTTTTTTTTTTTTTTTTTTTTTGGAACGGAGAAAAATATCATATTGTACGGAGAAAATACATATTCGAGAGAATGTGTGTGGATTAAAAGTCTCGACTTACTGTGTAGAGGAAAGATCGATTAATTTTGAAATGATACATGACAATATTGTATATCGGTTGGACCCGTAAATATCCTGTTCTTGGTCGCGTAAAATCTACAAATACAGTAATTTAATCTTCGATATCTACGAGGCGCTGAGAAGCCACGGTTTGAAGATCGAAAGATCTGTTTTCAAATCTGTGTCGAAAATTTAACGCGCTGAGTATCCGAAAATCGGAAGCTGGCGAAGTCTCGAAAGTTTAAGAAGCCAAGGACGCGAGGATGAAATGCTTTGAAATTTCCTAAGTTCAAAGAAATCACAATCGTTGAAAGTTCGAAGAATTTGGCGGTTTTCTACGATCGGAAGCTATGAAATTTCGAAGGTTTAAGAATCCGAGATGATCGAGAACTTTGAAATTTAAAAGTCTGACGGTCGGAAAACTATAAGGCCACGAGGAGTTTCGAAAAATCTGAAGATCAGCATGTGTAAAAGTTCTCGGAGTATCTTCGAAAGTTCGGGAATTCCCAATCGCGAGAGTTTAACGATCCTGAGAAGATCTGAAAAGTTTCGGGAAGCTCCGAAAATCTCCAAAGCCCAGAAATCTGGAAATCGATGACTCGAAAAAGAGCTCCGAAATGTCCGGAGATGTTGCTCGACTTTACAAATTAGTTAAAAACTCGAATCGACGACGAAATACCATCCGCACGATAAAAAAAAACGTAAAAAGAAAAAGAAACTCCGAAACGACTGAAATCGAAAACGATCGTATGTTCCATCGCGATCTGTCTGTTTCCATCGCTGCGAAATCGTCGCAAGTTAACCGCGTCATTGTGTGTCCATTAACACGGCCATTTAATTCCGCCGTGCGCGGAGAGATCAAAAGTCGTCCATCCCGGAAACGCTTTATTTTCGTTCGGTGTTCTTCCATGTCTGTTCAAGGAGACCGATTGGCCAGGCACAAGTGCCGAAAAGAAAATAAAGAAAAAAGCGTAACGACAAACAGGATTCAGAGCTCTCCTCTCTTTATTGCCAGGCAAATTTCGTCCCATCTTTTTCACCCGTCCTTTGTTGAATCGTCGTTATGTTGTCTTTATTTATCTGTAGGAATATTTAGGCCGAAATTCGATGGCTAAATGAGCTAAGGTCTGGTACCTATGACCTTAGAAGTTAGGTAGAAGGAGAGAAAGATATTATCTCTCTCTTTCTCTCTCTCTCTTTCTCGCTTGTTCGCTTTTTCCTCTGCCAGCCTTGCGATTAACACACGAAATGTATCGATGTCCTATCGTGTAAATGGGATTCTCGTTTCAAGAACGCGGCGCGAACGTTTCCCCTGTGTCAATGTTACGCGAATAGTTAGGCTCAGTTTCGTACGCTCGGTGAAAATTCTTGCGATGGGACACCGCGCGCTCGACGACTCTTATTTCTTTTTTATTTTTTATTTTTTTTATTTTTTTTTTTTTTGAATTCGCCTGATCGAGAGAGACAAGACGAGAAGCGAACTTTATTTCTTTTTATTTTTTCATCGACGTTTGGATAGAAAATTATTGTACTTGTCTGTTTTTGGTACTGCAGATAAGATTCATTCTTCTAATTGTAAGAGGAAATTTTTGAGACGAAGTATATATATATATATATATATATATATATATATATAGATATTATATTTTTGACTTTTGACTCGAAAGGGAGATAGATCTTTCTAAGTTCTTCGTATTTTTCTTTGGAAATTGAGGATGCTCTTGAGGCAGAGTCCTTGCAAAAACAAAAATTTAACAAATTTGTAATATTTTAACAAATTATATACTTTTATTATAAATATATTATTTATTTTAAAATAAATTAAAACCTAAAGTATGTATTTTATCAGCATTGTATAAAACAATGTTTCAGTTGAAACACATGCAGGTTATGGTTCGATTAGTTAAAAGTTCCTTTTCGTTTCTCAGTGTTTTTAATTGGAGCGCCGCGTTCTCTTCTTTTTTCTTACATAAAATGTAAAAATACCATCAGAAATGGTATTGTTTTAGAAATGAAATTGTCAATGGAAATTCTTCTTCCAGTTCTCGATTTGTGGGGAAAATGATCTTGTTATAGAAATTAAAATATCTAATACTTTTTTTTTTTTTTATAAGGCAGTTTTCGATCGAAGATAATCCATCGAGATTTCGAATCTTACAACTGAATGATTAATCAGAAAATTAACAAATTTCTTTCGAGGCATGTTTCAAAGGCTAAGTCGTAATATCACGATCTTAATAATTGTGTAATTCTCGGTCAGAGATAATGTTATCCCCACCAGGATTTCTACTCTTAAATTTAATAGTCTAATAATAACTTAATTGAGATAACAAACTAATCATAAACAAGGTGAATATGATTTTCGATAGAATTAAAAAAAGGGGAACAGAATGTTCAATTGTGGTTGATTCCTTTATTAAAAAAGAAACAAATATATATAATTTAAATATTATTCAAAGAAATGATTAAACTCTCGTGTAAAGGAGATAATTCATGCAAAAGCTCATTTTCTTGAAAGTGAAATGCACCTGACGAATTACAATTTTAATTTATTTTTCTTTCGTATTCAATTACTAATTAAATCACATTCTTTTATGCGGTTTTTATTTTATGTCTTATGTGGTTTAATTGGAAGACATTTATCTCGTTAATTGATTACTTAACTTGATGACAATTTGAGCTATTTGTACTCTTTCTATTGCACATTTCCTGATATTTGTAAAATGTAAGTTTGCACGAAAAAAATTACCTCAAATTCCCTCTGCAACAATTACTCCACAATTTTGTTCTTGCATCAATCAAATTTCTGATAATTTGCCCTGAATTTTGCCTAAAAATTTAAATCTGCTCTGATTAGAAAATTTAAATGGCCATCTAAATTTTTCACATTTTTTATCCACAACGATAACTCGTCAACACGGACGACGATAATTCTCAACTTCTCGAAAATAGAAGAATAAAAAAAATTCGCCAAAAACTAATCGTCTATTTATAATAAAAATTTCAATCTACTTTGATCGGAAGATTTAAACGGCCATCTAAATTTTTCACATTTTTATCCACAACGATAACTCGTCAACACGGACGATGATAATTCTCAACTTCTCGAAAGTAGAAGAATAAAAAAAATTCGCCAATACTAATCGTCTATTTACAATAAAAATTTCAATCTGCTCTGATCGGAAGATTTAAACGGCCATCTAAATTTTTCACATTTTTATCCACAACGATAACTCGTCAACACGGACGATGATAATTCTCATTCTAACTTCTCGAAAGTAGAAGAGTAAAAAAAATTCTCCAATACTAATCGTCTATTTACAATAAAAATTTCAATCTGTTCCGATCTAGAAAGATCATCGTGTCCGTATTTAGTCGTAACGATAACTCGTCCAATTTGCTACCGATCGTGATCGTCGATCTCTCGCGAAGGCAGAAGGGTTAGAAGAAGAAGAAGAAGAAAAAAGAAATTGGCGTCGGTGAAACGAAAAAGCTTACGAGATAACGAGATTACGCGGGATCGCACGATGACGCAATGGCAACTTCGCTATCCGAGTAGAGTCGAGTCGAGCCAGGCCAGCCACTCACAGTTTCCAGGAAGCCTCGAGTATCGATTTTTTCGGCGTCGCTCGATACACACACACACACACACACACACACACACACACACACATATTTACAGACTCGCTGCGGTGAAAAGTGGTGGAGAAAAAGAGGCGCGCGATGTGGCGATCTCGCGTACGACGCTGACGTGTCTGAATTCTAATCTATCGGCGAGTATCGACGAGACGGCGAGGGGAAAAACAGGCGACATGCCTGTCCAAGTCCACGTAGATAAGGACCTGAAACTTCCTCTTATCTTGGAAAATTATTTGTCGAAACCGCTCCCGTGAAAGGACTGGCGATCTCTCTTCGAGAATGGAACTTCGAGTTGAGAGGAGTCGCTCGATTTTTCGAGTACTTTGAAACATTCATTTCACTTCCTCTCTTGTCTTTTCCTTTTTCCCTAACCGATCGTTTGATGGTCGAATAAAGAATAAAATCCGACAAGAATTAAGTGGGGAATTTAGTTGAAGTCTTTAGTGGACATAGTGGGAGGGTTTCTTTTAACCTGAGTGAGGAAAGACAAAGTATACGAAGGGACAAGTATCAGACGTTGGAAGGATTAATTTAATTATTTAGAATTGAATTATTTTATTTGGTTAATTTAATATTTATTAATTTAATATTATTATTATATATTTATTATATATTAATTTAATATTAACTGATATTAGTTGAATATCTAATCAAGTTAGTTGAATTATTACATTTCTCTCGGAAAGTACCTACAGGGAAGAATTAATCTTCCCAAAGATAGGGAAATGGAAAAATTAATATTACAATCCAAGTATCCTACTTTGAATAGTATCTTATATATTTTTACACACTCTGATTTCTGTTTTCCCTCTTCTACAAATACAGAATATTCTAGCCGTTATTAGCAAGCAAGTTCGCAAGTTTGAATAATTTAAATAATTTAAATAATTTAGTTTAAATAATTTGACATTGATCCTTCCACAATAAACTCCAACAATTGTTCTTCCAATGTCTGAGGGCAAACCTCGGAGATTTCGATGCGAGGCAAGTCATTTGACCAATTGCGCTGGCAACTGATTGCGGACCATAACGAGTGACCAAACAACCCCCCCCCGTGTACAATAATTCGTCGCATTTCTTCTTGGAAACTCGTCGGT